GAAGAGGATCGCCTGGCAGCGAGGCAAGAAAGCCGAGGCTCTCCACGGACTGCTAGGGCTGTTGTGAGCTGAGGGGGCACTCCTCAAGGGGCATTTACAGAGGCGTCTCTGCACCCCTGGCAAAAAAAAGTGTTCTACGACCGCTTACTTCGCGTAATGGACGAGCCGCCCCTGCGCGGACTGTGCTGTGGGAAGCATGGCATGAAGGCAGAAATCGTATCCTTCGGGGCTGCGCTGCTTCTTTACTCAGGAAAAGCTTAATATTAAACAACCTGGTAGACAAGCAAGCCAATGCACTTGTGCACTCGTATTTTATTAATTAACCATCTCAGAAGTGAAGAGTTTTTTGCACAATGTCGGTGAAATGTATCTGGAAGCGGAACAGATCCTCCAAAATAGATCTTGCAAGGAAGTCCGGACTTTCTTGCCCAAAACGGAAGTCCGTGTTCTAGGCGCCTCGAGGGGGGATTGCGAGGAAGACACAGACGGATAAAAGCATTACATTTCAGGCTCGGAAGCAGTGAGAGATGCACCGGAGTGATCCATAATTGGGGCACGAAATGGCCCTCTTTTGCCACAAACTCCTGCAAGCGTTGGAATAAAGTTCTCGACGTCGTCGGCATCCGCATCAGAGTTTGAATCAGATCCCCAATTCCTCAAGAGCGGCGGGAAGTGAAACAATGGTGCCAAGTCCCATCATCGCTTCATCATCACAAAGCTGGGCTCCTTTTCCTCTTCCTCTCCGGAAGCTTCACCCTCATCCTCCTCTTCCTCCTCGCTGCTCTGCTGCTTTGGGGAATCGGTTGCTGCAAAAAGAAATGGTTGATTACGCTATGGAACAAAATTGGAAAATATGTTCTGTTCCTGGTTTGGAAAGGTTATTCCTGTTTAATTGAGCAGCCCTGACTTTGACAGGAGTTGTTATACTCCAGAAACTTTATTGTTTACTGTGGCTGCCATAAACTAGGTTGAATTGGTTGAGACTCGATGATGAAATATTCATTGAAAGAGCAAAATGTGCTGCAGGATATCCCTTCCCACAAAGACATTTTAATAAACTTTCCCCCATGATTTTAGACTAGAAACAATTAGGAAATGACATTTATAACTCAGGAAGAAAAATTGTGTGACGCAGTGTTACTATAATATTATTATATTTATTATTATACTATATTTTGGGCATGTTTTATAATAGGACCGATTAGGAAATTGCATTTATAGCCCAGGAACAAAAATCGTGTGACACGGTGTTATTACTATTACTATTATTATTATTATCTATATAAATATAAATGTAATGTTCGTTTGTGGGATTAACAGAACTCAAAAATCACTGGACGAATTGACATCAAATTTGGACATAAGACACCCAACAACCCAATGTATGTCCTTCACTGAAATAATAATAATAATTTAATAAACAAAATTGATTTTGTCATTTGGGAGTTGAAGTTGCTGGGATTTATAGTTCACCTGCAATTAAAGAGCATTCTGAACCCTACCAACTATGGAATTGAACCCAACTTGGCACACAGTTCTCCCATGACCAACAGAAAATACTGGAAGGGTTTGGTGGGCAGTGTCCTTTGGTTTTGGAGTTATAGTTCACCTACACCCAGAGCTGAACTCAAACAATGATGGATCTGGACCAAATTCTACATGAATACTCAATATGTCCAAATGTGAACACTGGGGGAGTTTGGGGAAAAATAGAATCTTGACATTTAGGAGTTGTAGTTTCTGGGATTTATAGTTCACCTACAATCACAGAGCATTCTGGACCCCACCAATGATAGAATTGGGCCAAACCTCCATGACCACCAGAGTGGGCCACAGCAACGCGTGTCAGGGGACGGCTAGTTAGCATTGATTTTGGGCATGTTTTTATGATAGAACCAATTAGGAAATTATCAGTGTAATGTCAAAGATAAGAGCTGCTTATTGAAGCAGAAACAACTGTCTGAAGTAAGTTAATTGGGTGATAAGAAGCAAGTTGGCCAGTTACACTGTCTCTCCAGTATCATCAGTTGGGAGCCTCTCTCCCCAGCACCAACTGCTGCTCTGGGACCAGAGCGAAGAGAGGGGGCCAGGAAGACAGTTCCATCTTGTTCCCTGCACTGTGCTAATAATATTATATTATATTATATTATATTATATTATATTATTGTATATACATATAATATTGATAATATTATAATGCAATACAATATAATGATAATATGATATTATAATTATATATTTTATATTACGTGTAACATTACTAATAATATTACAGTATAATGTTATAGTACAATATAGTAATATATAATACTAACATTGTGCTATGGTAATAATATAATATATTGTATTTACATATTACTTGTAAGCCGCTCTGACTCCCCTTTGGAGTGAGAAAGGTGGCATATAAATGTTGTAAATAAATAAATAATAAATAATTTGATAAGGGTTATGGGCCCAGCACACTTCCGCTGCACGAAGAATTCCTGAGTGATTAATGGTCTGTCAGTGAGGGGGAAAACATCATGACATTTATAACCCAGGAAGAAAAATTATGTGACACAGTGAGATTGTTCCGCACAAAAGATTGCTCCAGGCACTGCCAGGCAATCAAATGCTAATCAAGGTGATCAGTTGAAACATTCACACCTAGCTCCAGCAGACAAGAGTCCTTTGTCTCACCCTGGTCATTCCACAGATATATAAACCCATTTTCCTAGTTCCAGCAGACCTCACTACCTCTGAGGATGCTTGCCATAGATGCAGGCGAAACGTCAGGAGAAATGCCTCTAGAACATGGCCATATAGCCTGAAAAAACCTACAACAACCCAGTGATTCCGGCCATGAAAGCCTTCGACAATATGTGACAGTATTATTATAATATTATAATACTATTATTATTATTATTATTAGTATTATATTTTGGCCATATTTTTATGATAGAACCAAATGGCATTTCTAACCCAGGAACAAAAATCATGTTGTGCAGTTTATATTACAATTATATATTAATATAATTTAATACAAATATAATAATATATAATATAATAATATAATGTGCTATTGCGTGATGTTCCTCCTGGAAAAACCCAAGTTTTTGCAGTTTTAATAAACTTCTCCCATGTTTTGATGATAGGACCAATTAGGAAATGACATTTACAACCCAGGAACAGAAATCATAGGACGACATAGTGTATTATAATAATAATATAACTATAATAATACAATTATAATAAAATTTATATAAATAAAAAATGTAATGTTAGTTTGTGGGATTAACATAACTCAAAAACCACTGGACGAAATAACACCAAATTTGGACACAATACACCCATCAGGCCAATGAGTGACTATCACTCATAAAAACACTGAAAAACACAGCAGAAAAGACTTTAAATGCCATTAAAAAAACTTTAAATGCCATTAAAAAATACACATATACACATACAAAACAGACATACACAGACTGGGTCACAGCAAAGATGGGCAGGGACGGCAAGTAATAAATATAAAATATAATATAATTGCATAATAGAATACAATGTGCTAGAGCAGGAATGATGTCCCTCTGACAAAAGACAAAGTTTTGGCAGTTTCGTAAATTTTTCCCATGACAGAACCAATTAGGAAGTGACATTTATAACCTAGCGGGGGGGGGGGGGGGGAAATAGTGTGATAAGAATGTAATATATTATAATGATATAATATCATTATACAATTATAATAATATTGTTATAAAAATATAGTATAATGTGCTATAGCAGGATGATGTCCCTTCTGCAAAGACAAAGTTTTCACAGTTTATTGTCGAAGGCTTTCATGGTCGGAATCACTGGATTGTTGTAGGTTTTTTTGGGCTATATGGCCATGTTCTGATGTTTCGCCTGCATCTTGGGAAGTCTGACTTGGCCACAGTAGTCCACGCTCTGGTTACATCCCGCCTAGACTACTGCAACGCTCTCTACGCGGGGTTGCCCTTGAAGACGGCCCGGAAGCTTCAATTAGTCCAACGTGCGGCAGCCATGATTCTAACAGGAGCAGAGCACAGGGAGCATACGACCCCCCTGGTGCGCCAGCTCCATTGGCTGCCGATCTGCTACCGAGCTCAATTCAAGGTGCTGGCGCTGGCCTATAAAGCCCTAAATGGTTCTGGCCCAAGATACCTATCTGACCGCATCTCGGCCTATGAACCCACCAGGACTTTGAGATCTTCCGGGGAGGCCCTGCTCTCGATCCCGCCGGCTTCTCAAGCACGGTTGGCGGGGACGAGAGATAGGGCCTTCTCGGTGGTGGCTCCTCGGCTGTGGAACGCCCTTCCTACGGACATTAGGCTGGCACCATCTCTCATGGCATTCCGAAAAAAGTTGAAGACCTGGATGTTTGTGCAGGCGTTCGAGTAATCTAGTGCAATATTGGTAATTGAACATAGGAATGGAACAATGGACGACAAACCTGGACTACGCTTTGATAATGAGACGATTGGGCTGGTTATTGTAATAATTGTTTAGTGTAATTGCTTGTTGTTTATTAAGTGGATAATGTGTTAAGTGGTCAATTGTTATATGTACATTGAATTATTGCTTTTTTTTTGTGTGTAAACCGCTGTGAGTCGCCTTCGGGCTGAGAATATATAAGCAAAGTAAATAAAATAAATAATAAATAAATATGGCAAGCATCCTCAGAGGTAGTGAGGTTTCATAAACTTTCCGGATAGGTCCAATTAGGAAGTGACATTGATAACGGCTGAGTCCCCCTTGTGGGAAGAAGGGCGGGATATAAATATATTAAATAAATAATAAATAAATAACCCAGGAACAAAAGACAAGATGGACTTTTTGATCTTTCCAGAGAACTCCGCTTTACCGGCCTGCTCGCTCCTTTGCTCCAGCTTGCTCTTTTTGGCCATCATCTTCTTCTCCTTCAGCTTCTGCCTGCAAAGAAAGGGTTAAAAAGAACCAAATCAACCAGTCGAATTCCAATTAAAATTAAAAATTAAGGAAAACTTTGTGATGGTGAGAGCCGGCTGATGGCAGAACACGCTGCTGCCTTGGGAATCCCTGTCTCTGCAGGGTTTTTTTAGGAGAGGCTGCGCAGCCATCTGCTAGGAGGGCTTGAATTGTGTCTTCTTACATCCAAGTTGGACTGGGTTTTCCCATCCACAAGGAGATTCAAAGTGGCTATGTATCTGTTAGTAGTATTAGAATGCATTATCATTATTATTATTAGAAACACAACAAGATGAGTCCACAGCAAACAAGGTCACTCTGCTGGCTGTTGTATTGGGTCACACGTTGGACACTTCCCAAGTGTCTAGGACTGTGTGATGTATCGGCGAATACATATGTGATGTATCGGTTTTTGCAGTTCTATCTTTAAATCCTGATAGTCAGCTTTTCCAGTTGCTTTTTTTTTTGTCATGTCAGGAGCGACTTGAGAAACTGCAAGTCATTTCTGGTGTGAGAGAATTGGCCGTCTGCAAGGATGTTGCCCAGGGGACGCCCGGATAATTTGATGTTTTTATCATCCATGTAAGAAGCTTCTCTCATGTCTCCGTATGAGCTGGAGCTGATAGAGGGAGCTCATCCGCCTCTCTCCGGATTCGAACCTGCGACCTGTCGGTCTTCAGTCCTGCCGGCATAGGGGTTGAACCCACTGTGCCACCAGGGGCTCCGCTTCTCAACTAATAATGTATTATTATTATTATTATTAGAAACACAAGATGAGTCCACAGCAGACACTCTGCTGGCTGTTGAATTTGTGGCCTTCAGCTGGCAGATGTTAATTTTGTCAGCACCGATTGTGTTTAAGTGCAGGCCAAAGTCTTTAGGCACTGCACCCAGTGTGCCGATCACCACTGGGAACACCTTTACTTATTTATACTTCGCTTTTCCTCTCCACAAAAGAGACTCAAAGCAGCTATGTATCCATTATTAGTACTGGAACACATTATTATTATTATTATCATTATTATTGTTATTATTATATGCATTTATTATTAGAATCTCGCCTGTGACTCTTTAGTTTCTCTCCAAGGTAAATTCCTGTAGCTCTTGCTCTGCTTTAGTCCCAAAGCCGTTTCGCACTGAAATGCACTGGCCTTACCGCTTTCTCCTCCGCTTGGCTGTCTGTTCTTCCGCCGCCACTTTGTTCTTCTCCAGCTTCTTCTGGTATTCCTCGTCCAGTTTTTGCTGCAAAGAAGCAGAAGGAAGGTTTTCCTCACCGTCCATTGTACGGGAATGGGACCGGGTCCCACTCACAACGTCGGATTTCTCTTTCCTATCCATATCTCTCTCTCTCTCTCTGTTCACTGGTGTCTTCATCTCTCTCTCTCCATCCACCAAAACATTTCTCTATCTCTCTATCTATTCCCTTCTGCCTTTCTTTATGATTTATGTATTAATCCACCAACTCATCTATCTGATCATTGATCTATCAATGAATACACTGACATCAGAACGGGAAAGGATGGGTGTGTTGTTTTGGTAGTTCTACATACATAACATGTATTATTTTGGCATTTAGTTCAGTCCTATGATGTACAAACACAATACAAAGTCATTCTATTCCAAAAGGCCAAGAGGGAAAGGGACTTAGGAGAGTTGAGGGCCGAAAGGAAGGAGTGGAAAAAGGCCTTCTCGCTCACCTTCTCGGCCATGGCGTCCATGAAGTCTTGCCTCTGGTACTCCCTCCGCCGAAGGTGCCGGTAGACGTGGAACTCTCCGCTGCCAGCACCAGCGCTTGACCCTGGCAAGGAACAGGACGTGGCTGAGTGACACTCTGAGCAGAAGGCGGGCACTTCCTTTTCCCTGCCCCTCGTCTTCAAGAGTCACGGAAAAGGCCCTGAAAAGCTAGGTTGGTAGGACCAAGGCTTCCCTTCCAAATCTATGATACGATCTCTATCTCCCATACATACATACATACATACATACATACATACATATATATGAATTAATTTATGCAATGTTTGTTTGTGGGATTAACAGAACTCAAAAAACACTGGACGAATTGACACCAAATTTGGACACAAGACATCTAACAACCCAATGTATGTCCTTCACTCAAAAAAAAATTGATTTTGTCATTTGGGAGTTGTAGTTGCTGGGATTTATAGTTCACCTACAATCAAAGAGCATTCTGAACCCCACCAACGATGGAATTGAACCAAACTTGGCACACAGTTCTCCCATGACCAACAGAAAATACTGGAAGGGTTTGGTGGGCAGTGTCCTTTGGTTTTGGAGTTGTAGTTCACCTACATCCAAGGATGACTGTGGACTCAAACAATGATGGATCTGGACCAAACTCTACAAAAATACTCAGTATGCCCAAATGTGAACACTGGTGGAGTTTGGGGAAAATAGAATCTTGACATTTGGGAGTTGTAGTTCATCTACAGTCAAAGAGCATTCTGAACCCCACTGACGATAGAATTGGGCCAAACCTCCCACATAGAATCCTCATGTGGGCCACAGCAACGTGTGGCAGGGGACGGCTAGTATGTGTGTGTGTGTGTGTGTGTGTGTATATATAGGATGAATGAAAAGTAATGCCTCCACCTTCGTTACTTGGGTTTGCATAGGTATATTGTAATAAATCAAACACAGAAATAATCCTTAGAATGTGCACTTTAACTAACACTATTCACTTTTCAACATAATCACCAGACAATTAGATACATTTCTGCCAACAATGAACAAGTTTTCTGAAGCCGTCACGGAAGAAGTCGACACTCTGTTTCCGCAACCAGTGTCTCACAGTTCTCTCATCCTGGGTACCCATCATGCACAGATCTTCCGATAACCAAGAGAAGCAATAATGTGAACCACATGTTCTTGCGAAATGCCGATTATGCTTGAAATTTCTCTCTGAGTGATACAACGATCATCCTGAATCAATCTGTCAACCTTTTGCTTGTGAAACTTGGTGGTTGTTGTCACAGGACGTCCAACTCTTTGTTTCTCACCTCAACATCTTTAAACTTCCTCACCCAATGACGCACAGTACTCACAGCAACACAATCACCATAAACAGCTTGAATCTCCTTTGGGGTGTCACCTTCTGCTGTCAAGAATTCAATGGCTGCATGTTGCTTAAGTTGCATTGGCCGACCGTCTGCGCAGGGTTCCATACTCCACACTTTAACAACACAACCGTTCAATGCTAAGGCTTCCTGCCAAAATGGAACTATAGAGGAGAGTCTACTGAACAAGCCAGTACCTGCCGCATACCAGTACTGCCATCTGTTGAGGAGTTATGAAGGTGGTGGCATTATTTATTTATTTATTTATTTGCTGCATTTGTTGACCGCCGCTCTCAGCCCTGGGGCGACTCGCGGCGGTGTACAACATATAAAAACAGTTTACAAAAAAGCACAACAAGAAATCAACATATCAATAATACACACTAATCTAAATTACACTAACTAATCCGCATCGTCACAACATAGAATCATAACCAATCTCATAGTCCATATTCCGTTCCCGTTGTCATTACCAGTTAATTTAGCACTCAATTAAATGCCTTCTCAAATAGCCAGGTCTTTAGGCTCTTACGGAAAGCCATAAGGGAGGGCGCCTGTCTGATGTCAACAGGGAGGGCGTTCCACAGCCGGGGGGCCACCACCGAGAAGGCCCTTTCTCTCGTCCCCGCTAGACGTGCCTGTGAGGCAGGCAGGATCGAGAGAAGGGCCTCCCCAGACGATCTCAAGGCCCTCGTGGGCTCATAGGCCGAGATGCGGTCCGAAAGGTATTTTACTTTTCATTCAACCCTCATATATAGATATAGTGATACAGGCCGTCCCGGAGTTACAAACATCCAACAGAAAGTGAGGGCATATCTTCTGAGCAGGGCCACAGAAAGCAAACAACTATTTCAGGTCCTGCTTGTGCACTTCTTTGCCATCTCTCTCTCTCTGCCAAAGGGTTGAAGCTTGAATCATTCCCTCTGTGTTTCTAGTCACCTTTCTCTCCAAACACAAGGCTAGAATAGCACAAAGAAGTGAGTCATGAGACGACAAGCGGGGAAATGCAGGTGTGATGTATTTGCGGCGAAGGGTAGAGGGAAAAATGGCTGGCAAGAGCCTCGCACTGCGGCAAGTCTCCAGCCGCTCGAAAACAGCATCATCTTACCCATCACGTCTCGCACAAATTCCGGAGGCGGACGGGGCGACCATTCGTTGAGCTTTTCCGGAATGGGAACCGTCTTATCCTGCAACGAGAAAAGCGCAGCGGCACCTTCATGCAAAACATGAACAACTGTTTTTGTCTCGCGGGAGACTTTGCAACCAAAACCTGAACAGCAGTGAGTTGGCTGCTTTTGGGAATGGAGATCCTAACTTTGAATATGTCCTGATGGATTTGAATGGTGATTTCTTTTTGTTCTGTTTGCGTTTCATTCTGTTTAATGCTTGTATATTATAGATTGTATACAAACTCTTTTATGTCAAGCTGCATTGAGTCCCCCTTGGGGAGATAAAGCAGAGTATAAATTTATATATATATACATACATACACATACACACACACATAACTATTATTATTATTATACATTGTAATATTTGTAATGGATACATAGCTGTTTTGAGTCTTCTTTGGGGAGATAAAGCTGGATAATAATAATAATAATAATAATAATAATAATAATAATAATAATAATAATGGACACAAAGCTGCCTTGAGTCCCCTTTGGGGTGATAAACTGTGCATAAATAAATATAATAACAATAATAATATATAAATGTGTCCATTTATTATTATTATTATTATTATTATTATTATACATTGTAATACTTGTAATGGATACATAGCTGCTTTGAGTCTTCTTTGGGGAGATAAAGCTGGATAATAATAATAATAATAATAATAATAATAATAATAATAATAATTTGGGGTGATAAACTGTGCATAAATAAATATAATAATAATAATATATAAATGTGTCCATTTATTATTATTATTATTATTATTATTATACATTGTAATACTTGTAATGGATACATAGCTGCTTTGAGTCTTCTTTGGGGAGATAAAGCTGGATAATAATAATAATAATAATGGACACAAAGCTGCCTTGAGTCCCATTTGGGGTGATAAACTGTGTATAAATAAATATAATAATAATAATAATAATATATAAATGTAACAATAACATAAATAATAATAAGAATATAATAATAGTAATAGTAATGGATACATAGTTGCTTTGAGTCTGCTTTGGGGAGATAAAGTGGGATATAAATATTATTATGATAATAATATATAAATATAATAACATAATAATAATTATAATAATGGATACATAGCTGCTTTGGGTCTGCTTTGTGGAGATAAAGATGGATATATACATACACACACACACACACACACACTAGCCACCCCTTGCCATGCGTTTCTGTGGCCCAGTCTGTGTATATGTGTTTTGTGTGTATATATATATTTGTGTATATGTGTATATATGTGTACTTGCATATGCGTTGTAATGTATTTTTTATTTTTACTTTTAAAGTCTCTTGTGCTGTGTTTTTTTCGTGTTTTTATGAGTGACGGTCACTCATTGGCCTGATACGTGTCTTATGTCCAAATTTGGTGTCAATTCGTCCAGTGGTTTTTGAGTTATGTTAATCCCACAAACAAACATTACATACATACACACACACACACACACATATTATATATATATATATATATATATATATATATATATATATATATATATAAAATATATATATATATATATATATGGGATACAAAGCTGCCTTGAGTCCCTTTTGTGGTGATAAAGCGGGGTATAATTAAACATAATAGTAGTAGTAGTAGTAGTAGTAGTAGTAGTTAAAAACTCTGGCATAGACACTGAGAACTGGGAAGCCCTGGCCCTTGAGCGCTCCAGCTGGAGGTCAGCTGTGACCAGCAGTGCTGCAGAATTTGAAGGGGCACGAATGGAGGGCGAAAGAGAGAAACGTGCCAAGAGGAAGGCGCGTCAAGCCAACCACGACCAATTACCTTCCACCTGAAAATCAATGCCCTCACTGCGGGAGACGATGCAGATCAAGAATTGGGCTCTACAGTCACCTACGGACCCACCTTGGAGGATTATCCTACTCGGACAACGGGGATCGCCTACGTAAGTAATAATTAAACATACTAATAATAGTAGTAATAATAATAATACATATATAATATTATATCATAATAACACATTCTAATACTAGTAATACATAATAATAATAATAATAATAATAATAATAATAATAATAATAATAAAACAATAATGGATACATAGCTGCTTTGAGTCTGCTTTGGGGAGGTAGTTAGTAGCCGGTTGCATTAAATCACTACGGACTGAGCCTGGGTCAGAGTGAGCTCCTGACCATTAATAGTCAAGCTTGCTGTCGACCTATGCAGCCCAAAAGACAGTTGCACCTGTCAAGTAGGAAATTTAGGTACCGCTTGATGCAGGGAGGCTAATTTGACTAATTTACAACGCCATAAAATTTCCAGCAGTGTGCAGAAGAATGAGGAAGTACTCCATCAAAGGACATGGTGTCACAAGTGGATGGTAAAGCAGCAGCTCCCCCTGTGGCTGTAATCGAGCATACACTCATTAAGCCGGAATAGCTGGAATGTTAAATTGCCCCTGTGTCTGTCTATATAGGTTGTTTGTCTAAATGGCATTTAATGTTTACTTATTTACGACATTTATATGCCACCCTTCTCACCCGAAGGGGACTCAGAGTAGCTTACAAGATATATATATATATACATACAATATACTATATTATTAGCATAGTACAATATCAGTATTATATATTACTATATTGTATTATGGGAGCCCATGCAGTCATGCCGGCCACATGACCTTGGAGGTGTCTATGGACAACGCCGGCTTTTCGGCTTAGAAATGGAGATGAGCACCAGAGTCACAGAGTAGGACATGACTAGACTTAATGTCAAGGGACTACCTTTACCTTTACCCATATTGTATTATATCATTATATTGTAATATTATTCGTAATATTACATTGAATATAAGTATATAATTATAATATTATTATTATTAGTAGTAGTATTATATTGATGTACATTATATTATAAATATACATATATAGGTTATATTGTATTACATGTTTGCCAAGTATATGTGATTTGTACATGGAATATATGTATATAATAATATCATATTATTATTATTATTAGTATTATTTTGCAGTACATTATAATATTATAAATATTATATGTATATAGAATATATTGTATTACATGTTTGCCAAGTATATGTGATTTGTACATGGAATAAAAGCATATAATTATCATATTATTATTATTATTAGTATTATATTGAAGTACATTATAATATTATAAATATTATACGTATATAGAATATATTGTATTACATGTTTGCCGTGTATATGTGCATTGTGATCCGCCTGCGCCATGGGAAGGGCAGAATATAGAAATACTGTCAATAAATAAATAATAATAACAATATGAATATAATAATAATGTATTGTAATACTAATAATGGTGACTGCAGAAGGAGACTTTATTTCCTTCGTATCCATTGCCTAAATTAGTATATCAACTGATCAAAATAGAACAAGAGGTTAAATCCCTTTGGGGCAAAAACGGGCAACAGCGACCGCATTGCCTGCAGCCTCCAAGTGCCCAGGCCCCGCCCCCTGATCCCAGGCCCCGCCCCCTGATCCCCAAGCCCCGCCCCCACCGGGTTCCTCATGAGGCGCTCCAGCTTGAGGCGCTGCTCCTCGGCCGCGCTGCGTGGGATGACCAAGGCCTGCTGCTGCTGAGCCTGCTGCGGATCCTTCTTCCGAGGCCGCGTCGTCCCCGCCGAAGCCGCCGCCATGCTTTCTGCTTCCGGCCTCTGACATCAAGACGGGGGCGGAGTTTCAGAACGGGGCGGGGCACGCTTTAGCCCCGCCCAATCGCCGTCGGTTCGTTCTGTTTTAAAAGGAGGCGTGGCTACGGTTCGACTCCGCCCACTCAGAGTCTTGTTCTGTGGAGGCGGGGTTTTTAAAGGGGGCGTGGCTATGCTCAAACCCCGCCCACTCTCAGGTTTTGGTTCTGTGGAAGAGCGCGAGGCGGGGTTCCAGACGAAGGCGTGGCTACAGTTACCCGCCTACTTCTGCAGACGAATGGGAGGCGGGGTTTTAAAAGGGAGCGTGGCTATGTCTCAAGCACGCCGCAGGGATGAGGGAGGAGGGGCTACGCTCCGACCACGCCCACTCAGGGTTGTAGCTCTGTTGAGGTGGTTTCAGAAGGGGCGTGGCTACGTCTCAGCCCGCCCACTCACCGCATATTTTGTCTATGGAGATGAGGAAGGCGTGGCTACGACTCGGCCCCGCCCAGTCTTCGCCTCTTTTGTTCTGTGGAGAAGGCGAGAGGCTTGGCTTCGAAGGGGAGGCGGGGCTACCTGGAGATGCGGGAGGTGTCGCTTCAATGGGAGGCGGGGCTACGTCTAGGCCCCGCCCACTCTCCGCCTCTTTTGTTCTATGGAGAAGGCGAGAGGCTCGGCTTCAAAGGAAGGCGGGGCTACGCCTTGGCCCCGCCCACTCTTGTTCTGCGGAGATCCGGGAGGCGTGGCTTCAATGGGAGGCGTGGCTACGTCTAGGCCCCGCCCACTCTCCACCTCTTTTCTGTGGAGAACGCGAGAGGCTCGGCTTCAAAGGGAGGCGGGGCTACGCCTTGGCCCCGCCCACTCCCCGTTTTGTTCTGTGGGGATGCGGGAGGCGTGACTTCATAGGGGCGTGGTTACGCCTCAGCCCCCGCCCACTCTTCGCCTCTTGTTCTGGAGAACGCGAGAGGCTTGGCTTCAAAGGGAGGCGGGGCTACGCCTAGGCTCCGCCCACTTCCAATTTGTTCTGTGGATATGCGGGAGGCGTGGCTTCATAGGGGGCGTGGTACGCCTCGGCCCCGCCCACTCTCCGCCTCTTTTGGTCTGTGGAGAACGCGAGAGGCTCGGCTTCAAAGGGAGGCAGGGCTATGCCTTGGCCCCGCCCACTCCGCCTCTTTTGGTCTGTGGAGGATGTGAGAGGCGTGGCTCCGCCTAGGCCCCGCCCACTCTCCGCTTCTTCTTCTGTGGAGAACGCGAGAGGCTGGGCTTCTTAGGGAGGCGGGGTTACGCCTCGGCCACGCCCACGCCGCCTCTTTTGGTGTGTGGAGATGCGGGAGGCGTGGCTTCATAGGGCCCCGCCCACTCACTGCCTGTTTTTGATCTGTGGAGCGTGTGGTAGGCGTAGCTTTAAAGGGAGGCGTGGCTATGCATCGGTCCCGCCACACTCGCCGCCTGTTTTGGTCTGTGGAGGCGTGGCTTTAAAGGGAGGCGTGGCTACGCCTACTAGGTCCTGAAGGGGGCGTGGCCATGTTTCAGCCCCCGCTCGTTTTGTTCCGTGGAGGAGGCGGGGCTTTATAAGGAGGCGTGGCTTTGTGGACTCCTTCCCTCCTGCTTCCCTCTCGGCTCCTGAAGGGGGCGCGTTTCCCAGCATCCTCCGCGGCCGGCCCCTGCGTTGTCTGTCCGGGAGACCCCTTGGTTTTTCAAATGAGCAATTTGGCGCCTAAAATAACGGTTTCCCTGAGGCGTTTGCGGCCTTGTTTTCGACAAGGGCCTGAGAGGTGTGAATACCCGACCTGCCCAGCCTGCTTCAGAGACCGTTCAGGGAATTCCTCTTCGCCCATTGTTGGTTTAATCCAGTTCAAAGCAGATAATATAGATTTTATACAGCTGTGTTGAAGGGGCCAATGAGGGAGAACACACATGAAGTTCCAGCATTAGGTTTTGAGGAAACATCCCCATGCAAAAGCATCACTTTTGCCCTTGCCCAGGCTATGAATCCAGCATAATATCTGGATAAACAAGATGAACTCACAATTCAAGAGAGATATTGACAAGCTGGAATGTGTCCAGAGGAGGGCGACTCAAATGATCAAGGGTCTGGAGAACAAGCCCCATGAGGAGCGGCTTAAGGAGCTGGGCATGTTTAGCCTGAAGAAGAGAAGGCTGAGAGGAGATATGATAGCCATGTATAAATATGTGAGAGGAAGCCACAGGGAGGAGGGAGCAAGCTTGTTTTCTGCTTCCCTGGAGACTAGGACGCGGAACAATGGCTCTTCTTTGGAAGCTTTTAAACAGAGGCTGGATGGCCATCTGTCAGGGGTGATTTGAATGCAATATTCCTGCTTCTTGGCAGAATGGGGTTGGACTGGATGGCCCAGGAGGTCTCTTCCAACTCTAGGATTCTATATTTGCTTATTTTGAAAGAGGATAGTCTCTTTACAGCTTTTGAAATCTTATCGATATATTTGAAATTACGCAAACTGGGGCCTTCGTGTAGGTTTGAGGCATCCTGTGATTATTCTGCATGTTTCCTTCAGGGTTCCCTCTGGTCAACTGCTGCAGTCTGTGTCTGCCGGGGGTCCCTCTGGTTCTATTAGGTAAAGGTAGTCCCCTGACATTAAGTCCAGTCATGTCTGACTCTGGGGTGTGGTGCTCATCTCCATTTCTAAGCCGAAGAGCCAGCGTTGTCCGTAGACACCTCCAAGGTCATGTGGCCGGCATGACTGCATGGAGCGCCTTTACCTTCCCGCCGGAGCGGTACCTATTGATCTACTCACATTTGCATGTTTTCGAACTGCTAGGTTGGCAGAAGTTAGGGCTGACAGCGGAAGCTCATGCCGCTCCCCAGAATCGAACCTGCGACCTTTCGATCAACAAGCTCAGCAGCTCAGTGCTTTAACCCACTGCGCCACCAGGGGTTCTGGTTCTATTAGAGACCCTAAATTGGATCCCAATACCTATTTCCGGTCACGGGAGACAGAAGGAAGGAGTCCAGTCCCAGGAGTAGATCAACAACAAAGCTTTATTTCATCATGGCCTGAAGAGTCCGACAGCTGTACAGTTCACGCAGGTATCAGCACTTACAAGTGGCTGCCTCCTTGACTCTAGCAAGCTTTTATATACCAACATAAACAAGGTATGTCACTGTGATGTGCAAATATTGGAAATATAGATATTTATACATTTATTTATTTATTTATGAAATGGCAGGGAGAAGGTTTGAGGAGAGATTCTGAGAACTGAAAAGCACGGCTTTATTCCCGGTTGGCGCCAACCGGATATGGACCCTCCTGGTAAGCCAGGAAAGAAGGAAAGAACAAAGGAAATCCTTGGTTTATATACCTTTTAAAATAATTATGCATGCATCATACAGACATCACAATGTGCATCACAAAATTCTACTTTTACATTGACTTCAATAGCATATTTTCAAACTCAACACCTTGTTAATCTTCATTAGCATCCCTATCTGAAGAGTTGCTATTAATGAGGACCATCGCCAGAATGTCTGCTGGACCTGATAGCAAGAGTCTCCATCCATCTTCCTGAAACCTCTTAATAGCCACCTCATTAGTCTTACGATAAGGTGCCTGGTACCAAGATGGGGCCTCTTGAAATATGCCAGGCCTCTAGACATTCCTTTTCCTAGATGCTGGCCTCTCTAATTTTGCAGCTTTTAAGAAGTCAAGTCAAGTGAAGTGAAAGCCATGCATACATACATACATTTCTCATATATTTTCTAACTCCTATTTCTAATATGGTTACATCAAATATATATTTTCCAATATGTGAATTATGTATTTTTATCAAGCCTTCATCATTTGCAGTATTTATATTCCGCCCTTCTCACCCCGCCGGGAGGAGCCCCTGGTAGCACAATGGGTTAAACCCCTGTGCCTGCAGGACTGAAGACCAACAGGTCGCAGGTTCGAATCCGGGGAGAGCGTGGATGAGCTCCCTCTGTCAGCTCCAGCTCCTCATGTGGGGCCCTCAGAGAAGCCTCCCACAAGGATGGTAAAACATCAAAACATCTGGGCGTCCCCTAGGCAATGTCCTTACAGACGACCAATTCTCTCACACCAGAAGCGACTTGCAGTTTCTCAAGTCACTCCTGACACGACAAAAAAAACAAACTGCCGGGGACTCAGGACGGATCACAATGCACATATACATGGCAAACATTCAATACACTGGGACTAGCTGGGAGTCAGCTGCATTAAGATCAATATTGACTCATGGTCATGAGTTCAAAGCCAGCCCGGGTTGGAGTGAGCTTCTGACCAATTTGTGTAGCTTGTTGTTGACCTTTGCAGCCTGAAAGATAGTTGCATCTGTCAAGTAAGAAATGTAGGTACCGCTTATGTGGGGAGGCTCATTTAACTAATTTACGAGGCCATAAAAATCTCCAGCAAGCATGCAAAGAATGAGGAAGTATTTCATCAGTGTCACAAATGGATGTTGAAGCGACAGCTCCCCTGGTGGCCAGAATACCTTCATCAAAAAGCTAGAATGTTAAATAGCCTCTGAATGTCTGTCTATATATGTTGTGTGTCTATGGCATTATTTATGTATTTATTTATTTATTTATTTTGAACATTTTTACCCCGCCCTTCTCAGCCCCTGGGGGGACTCAGGGCGGCTTACAATTGGCAATAATTCATAAAACACAGAATAACAAATATAACAATTAAACATAAACATTAATAAATAAAGATTAAAACAATATACTTACACTCTGATTAGCTATTGCCCGTCTGGTGACTGTTTAGCTAGCCATCTACTAATGATTACTCCGCTTAACTTATCCAAATCCTCTTTCATGCCATAGTCAAACATTATAAATTGTCCTTTAACCCGATTGCCCGAAGGCCTGGTCCCACACCCATGTTTTAACCTTTTTTCTAAAGGTGAGGAGGGATGATGATGACCTAATTTCCCCGGGGAGCAAATTCCACAGGCGGGGGGCCACCACCGAGAAGGCCCTGTCCCTCGTCCCCCCCAAGCGTGTTTGAGACAAAGGCAGGGCCGA